TGTATAATGATAGTTGCGCACACAAGAACGGCGGTTTAGCATGCATTTTCATCCTGTTCCCAGTCACTCATTCGGTGATGCGTTGTGCCGGACGTTAAGTTGGCATTGGCCCAACAAGCCCACATTTGATCCGAAAGCCTCCTGTCCAATTACACGTTTACCAGCTGTACTGAAGAAATTGAGCCGATCACCCCGTGTTCGTTTTTCGCCTTTTTGTCTAAAAAATTGACCTTGCAACTCTCGAACGGCATTCTGAAGACCCTCCTTTTCGACCAGATTATTTAGTTGAGTACACTGAGAAAAGGTCCGAAAATTGTTGCATTCGATGAGTAGATGGGTTTAAGTCGTTTGAATTCCAATTATACAAATCTATCGTCTTGGGATTTAGCGGGGGGTAGAAAATTTAATTCGTTTGCCAGAATGATCGTCTAAAACGCCAGAATTTCAAGGACGAACGGCGATGTGCCTCATCTCCAGTGGTGAATTTTTTTGATAAATACAAAGTATGTCATACGAGTGAGTGGTGATCCTTGGATTTCGCACTAGCTTTTGATGCTTAACCTTGTTAATCACATTGAACTCACGTTTTTTTACTGAATCGGCTTACCCTACTTGTCAAGATTGGAATGCAGGCATCGCGCCATGTTAAAAATCTCTGGGCCAGAAATCACGAAAACGGTAACCAGGTGAAACTAATCAGATAGTTGAGAGTATTGTTTACAGCAACATGAAAAAGTGAAATCAAACTACCTTGCCTATCTACTGCCGTAAGTTGACGTGACTTATAATGCCTTCGTTGGCCAACCGCCCATTCCTGAACTACTTGGCGTCACGCATGTTTGTGTGCGGACAGAGTAAAACGTGGAAATCCTGGGCCTAGTAGAAAGCTTCCATCCTCCTCTGCTGTCAACGCGACAACTCAACCGGCGTCGAAGACGATTCCCACCACGGGTATATAGCATGTGTGACCTGAATGTGAATTAGTTTATGACGATAGCAGACATGCACAGCATCTGTCGCACTCCCTCCCTCCTCCAGTGACAAGACAGAGTCAGGGGAACAGGGGTCGAGACTGGGTGTAGTGGTCAACGAAACCAACCCGTCATACCCGGTTCGGTATGCGCTTGATGGGCCAAATCTCTATTAAAAAATAAAAGGGCGGCTAGGATGACCCCCTGAGAAGGGATGTCATGTGGATCACAGCAACAACAAGGAGACATTGTGCTCTGGCTCTAGGCTCTAAGGGGACTGAACTACCTCATCATTTCGAAGTCCTCTAACCCCTTACGTTTAAGGCGTCGTGATAGAGTTAAATTGCGTTCGGTTTTGTGTAGTGGGGAATTTTCTGGATGTGGCGTGAGATCTGATTCTGCACTGTTGGGCTTTCTCCCTTCTCTCGCCCACACACTAGTCTTCCTTCTGAGACAGCCAGGTATCCGATGCTGGGATGAGGCACAGATAGCTGTCAGAGTTCAACCACCAGTCTACGCCTCCGGTCCCCCGGAAAACGCATTAGGTCTTCGATTCGTTTACCTGCAAGTTAGTTTACTGCTGGGAGATCTGCCACGGATCTCGGTGAATCTGCAAGACCCTAGATAGGGAGCAGGTCGTTACGGGGGATGCAGTTCATCCATCTGATTGTAAGACAGAATGTGATAGGTCTGTCTGTCATGGAGTTGAGGATGATTGATTTAAAACCCTACTTTAGCAATATTTTCAAGTTGAAACCGCATTTCAGGATTTCGATTAGCATCTCATGAGTTATAACACGTTCTGTATCATTTTTTTGTACAGAGAATAAATATCCCTTATAGTAGTTTGGAAAATGTCTGAACGATAAGTTTAGACATTTCGTTCGACAGTATCCGCTCCGTAGTAGTAACAGAACCCGACTCCACTTGTAGCAGCACGATCCTGGTCAGTAAACTACTATCCAAAAATAACTGAAACTACAGCAAACCATACTGCTGTAACATGAAATATGATTAAACACAACGGATGACGATATGGCTAACATCGCCTGACCGTGGCAAAGTGCATTTAGCGCCTTGACAATGATGGGCCGACGAGGCTCTGAGAAACGTCAAGACTTCAAAAAACCTGTTCCAGGTAGGCCTTCTTAGTTCTAAAACGGCCAATTAAATTTTTGAGATGCCAGAGTGCTGGATAGAACAGAGACGCCCAGTGGACAGCACGCTGTCCCCGAGATGACTAAGCAAGCCAAAAACTGTCTGCCACTGCCGAAGGACTGGGAACACTCTACAGTTGTACTTGAGAAGACCGCATACCTTCAAAAGGCCGACCACCTATAGGGGGACCGCAAAACTTATTCCTAGTGTAACCGAGAACCGATTATGGATCTGGTACTGCGTCCCAGAAAGGCGTCAACCAACTGAACCGGACAAAGCTCTATGCTAGAACACATTGCTTTACCAATAAATTAGCCATTTTCGTCTTTGGGTCAGTCCTGTCATTACTCCTCTGCATACCCACCGTATGTAACCTCACTCGTGGAACGTGATGACGTAAACTGACATGACAAGTTTTAAGCAGCTAAAACGTTGTACATTTTGTTCATCTACCTGACCCGCCACGGAGAATGTTCTTTTTTCGTGCAGAGTATGTGTCTTAGTAATTTCGTCAGTCGAAATGTTTGCAATTTCAAGTGAAAATCGGTGTTACCTTATATTTTGATAATTGTCTATCTTAGTAGCATCTGAATCTGTTATTTTCCAGAAACGCGTAGATTAATTTACATGGTTTCATGCATCAAAACATGACGCACTTGGAAATAAATTCTTTGTCCTGCGTATACCATGTGAATCAAGTTACGAAAAACAGACATTTTTAGGAACCCTGACGTCTTATCCAGCATGCGACATTCGTTGCGTCAAGGGCTAAGGAATAATTCGTTTCCTTAGAACACTGAATGACTAGGCGATGCTGCTGAAGTATATTACTCAACAACCCTGAACATCTGATTCTAGCAGACCAGCCATTCCAGTAGTGTTCTTAACATTAACAATAATTAACTCCGTTTTACAGGCAGTGCCGAGGAAGTATAATTTACGGATCAGGCTAACAGTGAAGGCTTCCTGGGAAAGTAAATATAGATGACGAAGTTATTTTTGGATGGTTTGAATGGTTCAAGAAAAAAACATCTGAAGCCAGTGAAATTACGTTAGTCCATAAAAGAAATAGTTAATGGTGCATCGGGCGTTTTCAGTCTGTATTCCTTTTTATGGAATGGCGACTGCAACAAACAGAATGCATGGGTGGACCCTTTCTCGCTGTTGGCTGGAGAAACTGCCAGTAGTGTTGTGGACTGCAGAGTCGGCGCCATTTCTCACAAGATGCGGCAGGGTAAAGGGACTTGAGGCCTCGAACCCCATCAATACACAGGATTACTTCGGCGAATTCAGCATTTAAAAAGTGAGGGAGTGTTTCCGGATTCAAAAAATGGGTGATAATAAACAAAGTACGCGAATAAGCAATATAAGTAACTTGACCAGTGTTGGAAGGGTAGTACGGAAACGTAACAAGCAAAAGGAAACGGGATATGTGGAAATCAAGGAGGAAGTGGCTACCACGGCAAAGTTGGGCTGACCAAATTTTCAAGGTTATTACGTAGAACTGGTTTCATCCGTTGTATTTAATGGGGCGATAGGACGCAGCTGGTGACCCGTCACGCAATTTGTTCGTACCAATAAATTCTTCTCTGCACGCCCGCTTCGACTTCGAACCGGGAAGAATGCTTCAACTAACAGGTTAATCGCAGTTTCACAGTAGGCAGCGGTAATAAAGGAACGAAAACTTTTACCCATAGAATATTTGGAAAAGTATCTGGCTATAACCACATACCCTTTGTTGTAATAAAGAGTGTACCGCCTGGCATTCGATTATGATATTTTTGGCCCTGCTATTGTTCACAGGCAAAGGCAACAGGATATATTTCAAAACGTATGGTACTTGGTAGTTTGCTCAGAACGAAAACAAAATCTGACGTCTATGACTTCAGTTGCATAATACTTGAGTTCCAGAGTGAGAAAATGATGTAGCGGATAGACAGGGTAAGAAGTGAGACATTGTGTTTTATATGTTCTGCGTCCTTTCACTCTATAATTTTTAATGTTTGCATTTTATTTCTGAAAAAAAAAGAAGTTGGAAACTCTCTCGCCGTCCGACTTCCTGATGTGCGCAGAGCCAACTCACAGTGGACCCGCGCCCCGCAGTATAGCTATGAGGGAATTATTAGAGATCATAAGAATACAGAATAACATTATCGAAAATTTGCTACACGGCGATAACTATAACTCATGATGAAAAATTCATCATGGACCACAACTTACCAGTTCACCATTTATACAATCAGCTGAACAAACGGCATGCACCCCTGATGGGACCTGTTTTAGCGAAGAAACTATTGAACCAGCCAACAAACGACTTCACCACTCCGCCTTTTACTTGAACAGAGAAAATCCCCCTGTGAATACAAAAAAAATGGCCTATGTCCCTATATTTGCCTCTAACCTATTCTTATTACTCCAGGCGAATTCAATTTTTCAAACAGTTGGAACCACTCGGTCATCGGGCCGATCTTTATAAACTGGAACCGGTCTAATGGTCCAAGCTATAGCGGTTTTCACGTAACAAAAGCAATCACAAAAATCCTAGCAAAAAAATTATGACTAAATGTTAAATTACTTGAAAAACGTCGATCCCATTTCCCCTTATAACATGCTTATTTACCTAAAAAGTCATGTCAGTCCTGCCATCTCCTTTTCATTAAATTCATTTCCGTCAACAGAGACGATCGAGACACGGTTGCTACCATTTATTTTAACTTATAAAGACGTCTAACAAAATATCCCACAAAAGGCCGATATTTAAGCCACGAAGTCACGGGATCCAGCCTCCCTATCTTTAAAACCGATATACAGATACCAAACCTGGTCTCAGGGCCGTCTCCCGTAATCGGGGGAGTGTATCAGGACATTATAATGTCCTGTGTGCTGAAGAATGACCTCTCACTCGACAGAGCACTTCAGCCGGAAAAAAAGGCCGTAGACACTGACGATCTTTCCCACTCAGAGCCTACCGAATTAGGCCGAGGGATAAGGAAAAGGTAAGTGTTTGCTTTTCATTAATTTATCTTTGTAGGTTTGTCCGCCAGCTCACCTCAGACGACGACGAGGATGATGATGATGAAGAAATGGCTGCGCAAAGACCAAGACAAGATAATCAATTAACTGCCTGGCCCACGCCGCCACGCATTCTCCAGTAAGAATCCGTGTATATTATGCCAACTTTTAGACCACGCAATAGCTCGGAAAATACACCTTGGTGGAGAGACTCCAGCCAACCTACGCCACCAAGGGCTAATCAGTACGCCGTTTCTTTTAAAGTTTACTTAAGGCCGCCCCGGGAACCCAGCACGACCGCGTTTGACAAACGGTTATCACAGGTGCAGCACGATGGTGAATGCGTCCGGTAAGACTGTTCTGACTCTTGATGACATGCGAGTAGAAAGAAAGTTGATTACGTTGCTGAGGAACTCGTCGAACTACGGGCTGACATAACGCAGGTTAAGGCTACAATGGCCGAAATTTTAAAGGCCGTTCAGGAATTACGTCTGCCTGCTGAAGCGAGACCTCCTTCACTGAAGTTGCCTCTGTGTACGAAGGAGGCTTACAAGGCTTTCGTCAGTGAGCTTGAGGAGAATGCTAGTTTCGCTCAAGACGCGGTATGTACATATACTGACACTTTTTTATTTGAATGGATTGTAGATTAAACGTCTGGCGATTACAGACGGGCGAAACGAGAAAGAGTTTGTCAGAAATCTACTGACCACTCTACTCGGCCACCCCCTATGCCTCAGTTTCTGCTGGGGCGGAGCAAGAGATAAGCAGGCCTTCGTCGGCAGCCCCCTTTATGGCCTTGTTATTGGTAGGATATTTATTTTTAAGATTACTTGTTCAGCTGCAATTCGTGAACACGCCGCCTTCTCAAATTGCACCGTTGACACAATTCGCAAGAGTACAATTGATTGGTTCCACGGCGCGCGTGACAGATACGGTGGCCGATCAAAGCGGAGAGACAATACCACTGCAAATGCCACGGTAAATTAATTGACTTGAGTCTTTATAAGCTACTTTCAGCTTCCCGTCAGCTACAGCTCAGCCGAAGAATATATGATACAATCTACTTCCGAGGACACTGTAAGTGAGCGTTTCTTTATATCTATTAAACCTGCATTTATTCGAGCCTATCAACTTCAAACTACTTAGATCATAAAATATACTACTAAGATGCCTTATTTCAATAGTATGTTTTTGACAATTTAATTAATAGGACGCTGTGCTTTATTTTATTGTAGATACCCGCCACCGACATGGACGGATTACCAAATATGTCCCTTGAGGAAACATGACTATTGTACGTATCAAATTTTCATCTTTATCGATCAATAAGTTTTCTTTAACCAATAAATGCCGTTCAAGTGTGCTGATGGATATGGTTCGTTGGGGGGTTTGCAATCACGCGTGAAGGTCCGCTAACGGTCGTGGGAGATATTGGCTTTGGGAAGGCGAGCCGGAATGAAACATGACATATTTGGCGAAATGGGGTTCGCTAGAAGGTAACAAGGGATAAAATAGGACAGATACCGGGAAAAATCTGTCTAGGAAAAGGGTGATCAGGATTATAACGCGAGTAATTAGACGTTAATAGATCGGTATTACGGTCAGACAGTCGAATATGGCCATGGATGGGGGCAAAAAACGATAACTATAAGGCGTCCCCCTGCGCATTTTTTTGTCGATGAGGGGGCCAGAGGGGGCCACATCGGGGATTTGCCCCGCCATAGCCCCCTCTCCAGCTCCCTCATAGCCCCCTCTGGCCCCGCCATAGCCCCCTCATGAGGCGGGGCCATGAGGGGGCCAGAGGGGGCTGGTGCTGGCAGGGTACTCCCTACTTCTCGTATATACTCACTGTAAGTCATCCACATTAATCTCAATTAAGACTTTATTGCATGCAGACGACCTAAAAATTGCATATGCATTTAACGAGCATACAGTAGTCAGTATTCATAGGGCAACCAAGGCAGATCATAAAAGATTCTATGAATGGAGTAATCAGTGGCAAATATCTTTCTCACCGACAGATTCCAATCTCATAATTTTTGGAGCACAAATCTTCCTTCCAGCATCTTTTATCAGCACAAAATAAGGAAGCACTATGAATAAAAACTAAGGTCCGAGCCATGCAAAGGTTTCCCGAATTATCCTTACATCAGTATCAGTATCAGTATATTTCAGGGAAAGTAGGTGTGTATCTTTGAAATCCCTATTGGTTACATGCAGAGGATATATATGGAGGAAATGGAAAGGAAGTAACATGAAAGAAATGCGAGGGGAATAGCAAAAACTGCACAGATGAACACAGAATGTCATGCGTTAACATAATTTAGAGGCGCATTAACTTGCTTTATTGATTACCTACAACGCACAGATGAAGCACACTTAAGATACGGGAAAAGAATTAAAATTTTTAAGTCTACAGGCATAGTGGTGAATGCGAGCAGCGGTGTGCGACGTGGTCCAAATTAGTTATTTACATAAACATATGTTACTCAAATATTGGTGTTAGCATCGTCATGGCACTAACTTGTCAATGTTGGCCATCAAGGTGACGGTAGACCGGCGTTATTGTGGTCCGCGCTCCAATATTGATCTAGCCTCCGTTTAAATATATCAACGGATCCCGACATAAAAGCATCCTCAGGCAAGGCATTCCAAGCTGCAACCACTCTGTTGGAGAACTTTCGTGTTTCTTGCCGGGCACCAGTCACACGCAGTTTAAGTGGATGGCCTCTCAGGTTAGTCGTAGTCGTCAACTCGAAGAAGTCTCCTGATGCGAGACAACAACCCTGATTGCGCACGATGCGCAAAGCTTGCATCAGGTTAAATAAATTTCTCTGAAAGCCACCCACTTATGCAGGCTCATATATAATAATTTTCCCATAAACTCACTAAACATATGGTAGCAGGCAGACCACCTCCTCGACATGAGCCATCCATGTGCTGGGCTCCGAAGACGGTTCTTCTTCTGGAATGGCCTTGGTCGTACAGTCGTTCTTTAGATCTGTATCGGGAATCTTAGTGGTGCCGTTAATCACTCACCCTCAGTAATTTAAACGGAGCCAAGGTAGTCAGGAATGGTACGTGAGTTAAAGTGATTACTGTCTATTGTGCGGTGGGGAACAAAGAGATGACGGATAAGTCTCAACTATAAAATAAGGAGTAACAAACTAATCGAACGAAGATCGTATTGGAGTTCACTGTTGACTATCCCAGGACCTGATTTTTACAGGATTCACCTTAGTAGATGTAACTATATCGGCATACTTGCCTCCAAGACAAAGAGATTCATGTTCGTAATTCCAACTCTTCAAATGTCGTCTGCTTTAGACAAATAATGTTCCATCTGCCGTTGCAGTACAACTTTATGAAACGTACTTTATGCCTTCCGAGATCACATTTCAATTTTCTTTGACACATTATCATTAGAAAGCACACAAACCCGGCAAGCAGTGAAAAAATTCCTGTTAACAAGGCGATAAAAATAAGGTAAATGGCGGTTTTTTTCATAGTTTAGAGGGTTCAGGAGAATAAAACTGCTGACCATGAAATGCCGATAGTCAAGAAAGGGAGGGGTAGCACGGTATCGGATATTATTAGTTGCCAATTATTTTAATAAAGTTGGGACTGGTCCGAACAGGAGCACCGAAGAACAGCTGCAGCTGTTGGCTAAAGAAATGGTTACTGATGAGACCGGACATAGAGATCAGAGACCACAAACGCCATCGCTACAGTATAGTCGATCAGTGGATTCAACATCCAAAAATTGTGGGAGCTTTTCTGAATGCATAAACTGAGTAATAGTTCACTTAAACTAAGAATAATTTTGTAGTTTTCACATTCCTGGGTAGTTTATTCAAAATATCAATTGCATTTACGGAGAAGAACCGACAATATTTAACAGTACGTACCAGAGGAAGAAATAAAAATGCCTCACGGTAACTGTTCCATCGGGAGTGGACAAGATGTCTTAAAGTAGTGGGTGGGCTAACGGTACGATTAAATAAAGGCTTAAACAGTAAAAATAGTTCCATTAGTAATCTACAAAACCATGAAGAATCAAGGCCCCTAAGCCCGCAACCTTCTTGGTAAGACAAATGTCGGTGCTCCGGAGTTAAAACTCTCTTGGTGAAGAAAATGTTGGACTGATTCTATTTTCTTGCGCCCAACAGCATGCATGAGGCTAAATAAAAACGAACAGTATTCCAGGAGAGGTCTAACATACATTTAATATAGGCGCATTATATTATCGCTGGTTTTTAAAGTTTTGGAGGATAAACCCGGTCATTCTACGTGCTTTGGAGACCATCATGGCACAGTACTCCGAAAGATTAACGCTCTTGGAGTATGATACGCCCAGATTCTTAATAACCCCAGGCACATTTAAGGCGTGACCGTCAATAGTTATTTGAAGTTGGCGGTCGTCGCCAACCACCATGACTGAGCACTTATGCCAAGAAAGAGAAAGGTGCCATAAGCGGCACCATTGGGTAAAGGCCTGTAGATCGGTCTTTAGGAGTTCAAGCACGATGTCACGATCCGCCGGCTTATACCTATATGCAACATTCAGATCATTGGCATACATGAGGGGCTTGCTGTTCTGAAATAAATCTGGTACAGCGTAAACGAAACAGCAACATAACAGCGGGCCGAGTAGACTTCGCTGAATGACTCCATTCCTCTCAAATATGGGGTTGGATATAGAATTGAAAATCCCAACTCGTTGTTTACGATCGTCCAGGTAAGAGGATGCAAAATTCAGAAGTTTGTCACTTATTCCGAAAGAGGACAGTTTCAAGGAAGAAGGGTATGGTCAGCACGAACAAAAGCGTTAGTGAAATCGAACTATACTGCGTAAAGTGCAAAACCATTGTCTCTAGATTGAAAAATATAGTCAAAGAAAGAGAGTTGACAGGTGTCACATGACCCAGCTTTAAGGAATCCATGCTGTTCAGCGCTCAGAATGTTATTTTCTGTTACATGACACATCATCTTATCTTTAATCAATGCCTCTAAGATCTTTGAAACTGCGGGGACGATGTTTATTGGCCGAAAGTCATCAAATTTCGTAGATTGGCCATGATTGGGAATAGGCGGAATGTGTGATTCCTTCCACAGGGTAGGATAGGTTTCAATTCCAAGAGAGGGATTAAATATCTTGCACAAAATGGAAGGGAAACTAGCATTTGCATGCGCTTTTAGAATGCTTACTGGGACATCATCGGGTCCATGGCTACGAGATTGACGAAAACGCCGAATTGCTACAGTCACATCCCATCCGTCACCGTGAATCATCCTACCAAAGGCAGTCTAATTATTTGTAAATCTGCGAGCAGGAATGTTGTGGGACACATTGGTTTGAATGTTAATCGAAAGAATATGCGTACTGGTACGGGACTACCACTGAAGGCTGGATCGGCCTACTCCTCGCCGGAGTCAAAGTTTTACGGATAATTCATTTCAAGAATTAGCGTCACGTCGTTACAACTATCCGGATGCTAGCATCATTCGTTCTATGAATGAATAACATAGGCTGTGCTAGAATATAGCTGAAATTCATCGCCTGTGAGCTTGGTATACTGAGTGGGAAAAACATGGTTAACAATATTCACAATATCATGCATATGATTGAGGATGTTTAATGTCGCGCAACATTGGACTCATAACCTTATTTTAACCTTCTGAATTACGCGAAAACTGGCAACACTGACAGCTTTTAAGTCCTGCAGGGTACTACTATTATCAGTATCAGTATCAGTATATTTCAGGAAAGTAGGTGTGTACCTTTGAAATCCCTATTGGTTACATGTAGAGGATATACATGGAGGAAATGGAAAGGAAGTAACATTAAAGAAATGCGAGGGGAATAGCAAAAACTGTACAGATGAACACAGAATATCATGCGTTAACAGAGTTTAGAGGCACATTAACTTGCTTTGTTGGTCAAAATACAGCGGACAGTTGAGGCACACTTAAGACGCGGGAAAAGAAGTAAAATTGTTTAGTCTACCGGCATCGTGATGAATGCGAACAGCGGTGTGTGAGGTGGCCCAAGCTTACTAAATAACATAAACATATATTACTTAATTGTTGGTAGTAGCATCGTTATAACACTAAATTGTCCGCGTTGGCTGTCAAGGTGGCCGTAGTCCGGCGTTATTGTGGTGCGCGCTACAATGCTGATCTAGTCTCCATTTAAAAGTATCTACCGATAACGGCCCAATATCTGTCGAGTTTAGTGCAGTTCTGTTACTTAAATGCGTTAGAATACTCGCGCCGGTAAACTAAATAATAAAACATTTCGCAGTGTAGTCAAATTTGTTTTACACATTAGCAAAATACCACCGTCTCTAAATTCGGCTGTGTTGCAACTGTAGTCTCATGTGCCTGCCTTGTGCGTATTGAATCTATAACTGTTTATGTGTACTTGCCCATGTTTACCTCCAATTTAATCTTTTGGTAAACCTTCCTCATCCACTCTGATTTTTAAACCACGGCTGGGATAAAGCTGTCGTATTCGTAGACGCAATTGCGTCTAAACAAGCCGTCTCGAGCCGGGGACGACTGCTGATGTATAGGGCAGCATACTGCTGCAAATATTAACAACAAGTTATTCCAATGTTTATTACACGGGACGCCCTCCGGATGGGTTATATCCCTTGACATTGGAGACTGTTGTATTTATGTTCCCTGAAACTTACGCCGCTAATAGATCTATTAGGTAGACCCAGCTCGTTGCCAGAACTGCCTCGATAGGCACGCATTGGTAGGTCCCAATCATCATTGGCGATGTAAGCCGTTGAAACTGGCCTTCCAAACGTATTTATTTGAGCTACTAAGGGACAAGTTAAGGAGCCCCTTTATAACAACTAGGTCCTCTAAATAAAACGAATCCATTCGAAATAAATATCCATTCTATCATCACAAGTAATCAAGCAAAAAAATAAATACCTGAGCGCTGACACTCATCTGTTGGCAATGAAGTCCTCCTTCACTCCATCACATTAACTCCGTGGCAGGTCACCGTGCCTGTATATCGAGCCGTGACCTTTACCTAGCTGGCGCATTAAAAATGGAGCGGCATTTAGTCGATTGCGCCGACTCACAGACCACTATGAGTCAATATTGCTAGGTCGTCAACCAGTAGCATACAAGACGACCCTTCATCAGACGGTTTACCATGGCCACATACAGCACTCACAAAAGACTGCATAATTCTACGTAGGATTGACTAAAATCCTCGTTCAATCCTTCTGTTAATGGCAGCCCCTCGATTGCTAGGTTCACCACTACCCCACCTAGAATGCGCAAGTTAAGGTCACGTACCTGACAGTTAAACTAGTGTACGAGTCTTAAATTAACGTACCCACCACAGGCCGATGCAAATACCGGGAGAGTACTTCACCTAACAGTGTTCGCGCATCTGAATGCATATCCGGCGGAAGTAACTTCATTATTTCCAGGAAACTGTTAAATTTAAAATGCGGCTTTTATGACCTCAATATCCAAATCACAGCATATTAGTTATGGTCAGCGGGCTTTCTTTGATCTGTCAACTTGCAGGTTCGTCAGACACGTTGAACAAAAAAAATATCGCCAGCTAATTCTCGTCTTTATTAGAAGAAGACGTTTTCACGCCCGAGGACGAACTTTTCATGATGGAGACCGTTGTGTCTGATGCACGATTTTTCCCCACATCTTTCACTTCACGTAAAGCTTAGTGTACTTCTCGGTCTACACGCCGCATAATTGTTCTCTCAAGCACATAATGGAGTGGTATGGCACGTGAATAGTAACCCCTGTAATACAGGTGTTTGTGCGTTAAATTCGAGGAAGTGTACAGTTCACATGTCCAAACCCCACACCTTAACCCTAGCCCAAACTTCGCGGAATACGGCCCAAGTCTATCTTTGTTACGATGGTACGTTCCTACCCCCTTATGCGACCGTGCAAACATACTAAGAAGCAGATAAGAATTAGCACTAAAGGACAACAAAAAGACGCCAACTAGAGTCCGTGTGCTCAACGCCGTGACAGAGCATGAAATGACGTCCAACCATGAGCGCGGGAATGCAATCGCGCCGTCAAATCGATTGTCCTGTCAACATGTAAGCATTCGACCTTCGCGTACATTATGAGATTGTAAAGTAAATAGACAACCAGTCAACGACAAATAAACTAGGACAGTGGAGCTAAAATCGAAGCCGCTTACTATTGGGTTGGTCGAATTTCGAAAATTATGTCGGCTAGTGCTGTATTTGGACGGGTCTTTTCGATGATCCTCACAGAAAAATGTTGTTACCTGCTAATTATGTTGGGCAGAATCCGAGCTCATAATCCGTAAGGCAAGTAGATGGAGAGTTTCGCCTATACTATTATTCAAATCACTGCTGTCTGAATCCGATATCAGGCCGTCAAATGTGCATATTTTCTCTCCGAGTCATCCCATTCACTACGAAGATCCGCTCATGCAGTCTGTCCACAATAGTTTCGAATTCCAGCCTCTGCGATAAGGCGATCGATAACTACAGCCTTTCCAATACTGTTGCCTAGGAGCAATTCTGCCGGGGTTGCATACCGCATACTTCTCGAATGAGACAGTCCACAGTATCTGCCACGACGTTACGGTAATACCTCGGGTCATCCACAAGAAACGACGGATCTGGTTTGGGTTGGTTCTTTGTCGCCAACCTAATAAGTTGTTATCCAAATCCTACGCTATTACTTACTCGGAGGCAATTGAAATGTCAACTTACATGCCGACGCCTCCATATACAGAGTTGGTCCTCGGGCCTACGTCATTCGGCCTTCGGAACTAGAAAAGATGGTCGATCCCACTATTTACTGGTCCCTTGGCACTGGCTGTATCAGATCTGATCACATGCATACCAAGTCATTAGTGCTAATTATAGTAACCATCTACGACTGCTTGATCCTCACCCAGTCGGTTTTTATTTCCTTCGACACTGCCGTGCCAAAATTACTAATCTGCTAAAACCAAAATCGCAAATGATTACACTGCCAGTCACCAGTTTCGATGCGAGAACCGTGAATGACGATCAACACCGCATTTCTAACAGCCTACCAATATTTAGAACTGGGTTAGACGAACATACGCAGTCTGACTAACTGTTGTATGTTCCTTATTTTTGGTGACTGCCGTATCCTAGGTCTTATGGAAGTAAATGTCCCTATGCCCTCTGACACTTATTTGATTGTTCCTTTGAGACACTTCACCCACATCTTCCCCGTTGCCGCCACTATTAATGACTGAAGAGTTTTATCTCAATGTGTTTCAGAACCGCCCCGCCACCTAAATAATCACGTCCGCGTTTCAGGACCAGCATGAATCGCCTGCTACGTCATTCGCAGAAGCTTGCTGCACTGGGCTTCGCCACCAGTGCCGTCCTCTCCTGGACTCTGCAGCCCTACTCTGAGGCATTCACGCGCTGGAGCCAAATGCGCATGAACAGGGATCGGGAACTGCCACCAACGGAAAGGATTTGTCGTCTCTGTGATCAGGTCTGCACCCGTCTAGGTCTACCACCTCATCTGCGTCGGCAGTTGGATCTCTTCTTCACTGAATCGGCAGAATCCGTAGCCCTGGGCAACCTCAACGGCGATCCTAAAGGCTACGCCTTTGTGGGACTGCCCTTCTTTTTCCGATATGCTACAGAGGCGGAGATTCCCCTGCAGAACTTCGAGTTTGCCACGTAAGACGTCCGGTACCTTTAGGTGCAATAGTAGTAGTAACGGTCGCGTATTGTCGTTCGCCTAGAATCCTCACCACTTCTTCCTCCCAAATTTTTTTATCGGGGTATTTCGGCCAGACAGTAAATGTGCTATCTCATAAAGTACTAACCGAAATCCTGAAGTAGGTTTTCAATTCGAAAAGTTTACTTAAGCAGTGTTGTTGTGCAGCATAATTCCAAGATATTTCTGTCACACCAGGATGTCGACTTTTAAATAAATTTCTTTTCGGTCGTCTGTAAAAAACCACTTTCTGCAAAAAATGGCTTCTTGTTAGGTATGGTTTTCGTTGATTTTCGATGTCATTATAAACCCGTTTACATTTTGTAGAAAATGGCATAAAAATATTCTTTTACGCAGTTGATGACCAATGACGTCGTCTCCAAATTTTTAGTCCTAAAAATCTCCTAATAATGAAATTTCTTAAGACCGTAAGATATCCGTTCATACAATATCGCATCGGCACATTTATTAAAGCGCAATTCGATGAGTCCTATACGACGTCTTCAAAACAGCTCGGAGGAATGTGTGATAGTTCTTTGGCGGAGCGTATACGGCATGTGGTTTGAAAATCCCGAATGCAAGTGAAACGGCAGGTGGGACAGAAGATTATTCGGGAATTCAAAAACAATCCTCAAAAACCAAGAGGTGCCTTCTTTTCAAGTGGAAAATTTGAAAAAGACGAAATTTGCTGCCACATGCTTGTACGAGAGAGTATTTTTGTCCATGTTTTTTATGTACTATAACTGAATTTACGAGGGCATCGGGAATCGATAGGAAAAATTAATATATAGTAGTCATTTTCCAGTGTCGCTTTTGTTGACAGCCGAAATGAAGCTTATTCGACAGCCGGCATCCTGGTGTGACTGAAATATCTTGCGATTGTGCTGCACAGTAACTGACACCACAGCACTACTCAAGTAATATTTTCGAATCGAATACATATTCCAGAATTTCGACTAACAATTCATGAATAGCACATCTAGTGTATTCAACATACGCATCCAGAGGTGAGCATATATCCAGTGGCATGAAAATTAGATGTCTCGCATGCTCTCATTGGCATAAAATCCTGTTTTATGTCATTATCTTTCTAAGCCAGTAGTGCTTTTACCGCGCTACATCTTCAATTTCTATTTTACATATCCTTCGCTCTGGTATGACAGCCCTTCAGACAACGCCGCGCAGACTGAAAGAAGTTAAAGCTTGGCTGCGAAGAAGAGGCGATCGTAGGCTACTAGTATAGATTTTGAAGTCGCTAAGCGTTGCTCACACCTGCGCTCGACTTTGGCTGAGTTGCCGGCATGGCGGAGTCACGCAGTGCAGAAATTCCACTGACTTTGTAAGTAGGTTGCTAGAGCTTCTGCGTATCGCTGACGTTTAAGGCTTTCTCCATGCTGGTCGCCATTTCGGTGCGAATAGTTATTCCCAAGATCTCTATGTGACTGGGGGAATCATGATAGCATGACCTTTCCGAAATATCTGGGCAGACAGGGGTACTTTTCTTCAACTGATCCACTGATTACGCCGTCAGTGTATGAGTCCTAGAATTCTTTCAGTTGTCATTTGAACTGAGGACTCCAGTAATGGCCATCAGCTGTTCCTTTCTCATTCGACTCGGCTTGTGGAGTAAGACTGAATTTCGGAGCACCGAAACAACGCATATTGACGGGTTCCGCGCCGAGCAGTGCATTAAATCGCACGTCGTCCCGTGTCTACCAGAGTCAAATGGGCCGACGTGAAGTGAACCGAAGATGAAGTGGCAACTGAATCCAGGGATCTGGAGTTGGGAATTCTGTCTTCACACAGGCGGCAGGCATGCATGTACTGATAAAAAATTGTGCACCGTCCGACTTTGGTTACCTGAGTTGAGGAGAATTCGCGCACTCCAGCATCCAGAATGAAAAATCCGTTCCAGATTGCGTAGTCAAGCTCGCATAGTATTCGTTCGCACCGACGGACTAGGCTACCTGCGGCGCCAAAGCATATTTTCATGAAGTTATTTCGGTATTTTTGGTAAAGGCGTGTCCATATCAGTCGCCCATGCTGCCTTATGGTGACTTTTCCTCCAGAGGTTTAGATCAAGAACATAACATAAGCAAGTGTATCAGATTATTGCGCACGGTTTTTATGCCATAGTGCAGTCAGCGGGTCGCGCGGTAATACTTTATCAGGCGCTTGATGTGCCAGACCTCGTCTCCGCGTTATGGTCCACAGCGGCTGATTTGTCAGACCCAAAAGCCTGATTTTTCGCTGCTAACCTTCACTGGAAACCGTTCCGACATCAACTACCGATGAATGCATCAGGTAGCGAACAATTGGACCAACTGGTAAACTCTTATTCCCTGGTCCTGGTAAATCGCCTTCGGCAGATAGGGGCCACTTCGTCGATTGGTACGTTATTGAAGGTCATGGCAGTGCTCCTTCATGTGCTCACGAAAGTTTTCTGAGGCTTAGGACGGGCCATTCTGACTGACCCGCCCTTACGTCGCGCCGGCTCCAGACAGGACTAGAGAGTTACCTAACCAGTCAGATGAGTCAGAAGTCCGGCCGACACGCTAGTCACTATCTAACTGGTCTAACTGAAGTCCGACCTTGGACATTCTCGTATGGTCGTCCTTATTCCCCTTACATACGCTGTTAGAATACATCAATAGACCACTCTTCTGCCGCCTGTTAAGCTCAGATTTTGAAATTTGATTGAGGCGAGTTGTTTGACGGACAACCACTGGTGCCTGCGGCAAGTTCATAACAGCAACTACAGTGTTAATAGATCTTGGCGTCGTGTCTACCTCGTTGCGCATCACAACGATCTGCCGGCTCAACTCTTCGGGCACTGTATCTTGAAGGCACTGAGTCACGACGTAAAAATGTCGTCCACTCACCCTGCGGACGAGCTGTTCGGCGCCCTTGTCCCAAATGCTGCGGATTCGAAGCGTTAGAACGTCGACTTTAGGTTCCTATTCCTTAGCCACCCTAAGCCCCAACATGATCCAACTGTCTTTTCAATCGAGGACGCACTCCAGCGCGTGAACAACCGTCTGCAGTCGTTGCATTTGACGACGGACTGCCGTTCACAATTCCAAAATTCACTTGCGAATTTCTGACTTTTATAGCTTCACCTGGGACTGTCAGTAACTACGGAGCTAAGATTATGGTTTTCGCAGCCTTGCATCCATTACTCGAAGCACTTCCTTCTTGTTTATAGCTTCCTTCATGTCTTTCC